TCAGCAAAAGAATTGAATTTCAAGTCTATATGAAATGAATTGAGCCAAGTTTCACCAAATCTCCAAGGGGTAGGGTGAAAAAATACTTAGTGAGAGCCTCATGTATGCCAGGAACTCTGTACACAATGGTGAACAAGGAAGAGTTCACTGGCACCCACTACTGTGGCAGTATGTGTTACTACACTGAGACAACAAGTAATTAAAATACAAGATAATAAATCAGTACTTTGTTCCAGGCATACTCAGCATCAAATAGTTGTAACTCCTATCTGATGTCTTGGATGAGATAGGAAACATTTCTATAAGAAAGTCAGATATAAGGTGAATCCTTACATGTGAACTATTCAACTGCGCTGAACCCTCTCTTCTAAACATGGCACCATTGATTGTCCCTCTATGTTGTCTGTATCACAGAAAAGGAGCCTGGAATGATATTCCTAACCATCCGTTTCCAGATAGGTCCGAGTTATGGTCTACCAATGAGAGGTGCTCCTGCGATATTTGGAAGGTGGACGAGGAGTACCACTGTCTGGCAGCTATTGCAAGTAGACTGCAGTGCTGTTTCACAGCTGACGGCACCTGAAAACCACACAGTTCAGCACACCAGTTAGTTTCCCAGACCCTGGCATTCTCAGCCCTCCCAGGCTTGGGCAAGCCTCTCATTCCCTAGGTTAAAAGTACATCCTAGGTTAATACCTAGATTGGCTTCAGTTTTCCTAATTAAGTACTCTATAACTGGAAGGAGATGAAATGGTTCTGGAATCAATCAAGGCAAAATAAAGGCAGGATCCAGAAGTGGAAACGAGCATGGTCCCGTTATTCTGGGGCACAGAGTATGAGAGTGAGACTGGGGTCTTATGCAGGGCTTCCATTATCAGGGATTTGTGCCAACTTTCTACTACAATTCTCATCTGACAGTTTTAAATGAATTAAAAATATCTATACCACTAATTTGATTGTTTTGCCCTAAGTTTACAACATCTCTTCATAGCTTCGGGAATACTTTAAGAGATGCTCGAAGTATTATTTGGGCAGTGTCTTATAACACACTCCCCATATGGCTCTAAAGAAAAATATTTGCAAATTTTCACATTTTAAATCAATTGGTATTTGATGTTATTACAAAGGTCTTGTCTTCTATGGTCAACTGTTTGGCTCCTTAATGGAAGATCTTTCACGTTTTATATGCTGTAAAGTGTTTCATCTTAAAATTTTCCAACAAAACTTTCCATAACCAAAGTAATGATTTCTTTTACCATCTCTCCAACTAAAAGTGTTTTGCATTTTTGCACAATAGTCCGAGCTGTTTTATACCTGGCCCCAGTTACAAGCTCAGATCCTGTTTATAACGGTCTAGAACTTTGTTGTTGGACATTTAAGTCTGGCTCCATTTACCAGTTTCGTCAATTCTGTTTTTGATTGTTGAGAGGAAATGTTTGATAAAACTCCCTGTGTATTTGCTGAAAATGTCTCTAACATTTTTTTTTGGTTTTGCTGCACTGCAGCAAACTGCGATTGCAATTCGTCCTGGATTTTGTGACGTATCTTCTTCCAGTCTCATTTTCTCTTCCCTGTTCTAGTCATCGTACATGCTCAGTCATCTCCGGTCATTCTGCCTCAGTATCACGCTTTCATTTCAAAGTTAAAACTTTGTCCATACTTATTTTTAAACTAAAAATTGAGTATATTATAAATAAAATAATAATCATCATTTAAATTTAATTACCAAATACAATGCTGATAGGTGTCACTGTAGTTCATGCTGTCTACATAAAGTATTCAAATAAAAGTATTATGTGAGTGTGTAAAAAAGAGTATTCAAACAGAATCAATCTGCTGACTTTGACTAGATCAATGATATGTTTAGAAACAATGCATGGGACTTACATTTGCATTACAATACAGTAATAATATCTGATCAACAGGTAGAGTGTGGTGTATTTCTACCAAAACAACAAAGCTGTGGTTCATGGTAAAATATTTTACACTGCTTCAGTTTCCTAATTTAAGTTAAAACTAATTATAATTAAATAAAATTTAAAATTCAGTTTCTCAGGTTCAGCAGCCACATTTCAAGGGCTCAATAACCACATGTGGCTAGGGGCCAGCATATTGGATACCACAATTTCTAGAAAATACTCAATATTTGGAAATTAAATACACACTTCTAAATAACCCATGAGTAAAAACAGATATCACAAAGAATATAGAAAATATTTTAAACCGAATGACAATGAAAACAGAATATACAAAAAATTGTCTGATGTAGATAAACATCCATAGAGGGAAATTTTATAGCTTTCTACCTTTATGTTAGAAAAGAAATATTATTTAATTAAATTGTTATTTTTAAATTAATTAGTTAATTTTTTAATTGAGATACAGTTGACATACAATATCCTATTAGTTTCAGGTGTACATCATAGTGATTAGATATTTGAATACAATACAAAATTATCACTGTGTAAGTCTAGTTAGGAGAATTTTAATGGTATACAGGATACTGTAGACACTGTGTTGTAGAGACTCTGGGTATTATTACCTTCTTCTGAAGAATATTGTTTGTTCTGGCAGGCACTTAAATTACTGGCAGTTCGCTTTGACCTTGGGAAGGCTTAGTTTTAGATGTCCTTAGCAGGTGACTACTCCAGTTTTGCTCCTCCTTTAGGACAAATCCCTTAGTAGTTTTTACTCCTAAAGTCTGACTCTTTGGGTATTTCAGTGGCATACAGGGCAGATTGGAACCTCAAATGCTGTCTTTGCTGCTGTGGGCAGTTGCTGACGTCTCTGACCAGCTCTCTCAGTCTTCCAGGGAATTTTTCCCCTGGACTCTGGAGACTGCAGTTCACGGATCCAAAGATTTGAAGGGAGTTTACATGCAGAATTTCTAATGCCCCCTGCCCACCCTGTGGCTCTTCTTTTTGGGAGTTCCCCATCAATTTCTGCCTGCTGCCCTTGCCCCCGAGCTCTGTCCTCTCACTCTCGGATCACTGTGACTTTCTGCTTGAGCGCTGCCGCTGTATCAGCGGGACGGTAAGTGCTCTCAGGGGGAAGCCACACAAATGTGGCAGCAGGGTGTGATCCCCTCATCCTACAGGGCAAGTCCCTGTGGGGTCCGCCTGTATTTGATCACTTCCCGGTGCCCTCAAATAGTTGTTTTAAAATTATGAGTATTTTATATTTTCTACCTAGTTTATCAATCTTATTACAGGACGATTGAGAGCTGAAACCTTCCTGACACTTTTTTTTATTTTAATTTTTTGTTTATTACAGTAACATTGGTTTATAACATTGTAAAAATTTCAGGTGTACATCATTATACTTCTATTTCTGCATAGATTACATCATGTTCACCACCCAAATACTAATTACGACCCATCACCACACACATGTGCCGAATTATCCCTTCCTGACACTTTTAACAGCTCCTTTGACCCACAAGGAGGAAAAACCGTGTACTCACGGGGCTCCTCAGATTATCCAAATCCCGGTTTTTCATGCTTTGCTCCAGCGTAGATATTTTTCAAAAATACCAAATTCTAAAGTTCACTATTTTCATAGCCTTGGGCAAGACAGCTCTCTCTCCTCAGCCCGCCACCACCCCCACTCACACCACTTCTTTCTTTCTAGGACACAGACCATGGAGTTTCCAGAACATACCCACACATGCCTTCCCCATTCTCTGAGGCCAAGGCAGTGATAGCAGTGGAGCAAATCTACCCCTCCTCCTGAAACGATGTGGGAGGCATCTTCCCTGATTTTTAGTAATCAAGGAGAGAAAAACCCGTATTTGATATAACTAAAAACAACTCCTTTAGAATTTTTAATGAATGACATGTTTTGAGTGACTTTAGACATTTAGACATTTAGAGTCAGTGATGGGCATCATTTGGTCGAATGCTTGTATCTTCTATTATGAAACTGTTTAAGCTAACAAAGTTAAAACAATAACACCTAAATTAAAGAAATTTATCTTCTTATCCTAATGGAAATGCAAACGATTTTAGCTTTTACTTCAATAGCTGTGAAGTTGCAAGTCTGCTCTCTTAGAAACAAGACGGCCTTGATTCACTTATCACTGAAGTATTTACCAATTCTCTCTTCTTTTTAGATTTTTAATGTAACTTTTTTTCTTGGATAAATTTGACATGTAACATTGTGTAAATTCAAGGTGAACAGCATATTACTTTGATATATTTATATATTGTAATATGGTTGTCATTGTAATGATATTTATCACATTACATATTTACAGTACAATATTACTGTCTATTTTCATTATGCTGTACATTAGATCTCTATGGCTTATTTAATAGTTGTTACAAATTTGTATCCTCTAAACACCGTCAATCTTATCCCCAATCTTATCCCCCATACCCCAGTCCCTGGTAACCACTATTTTACTTTCTGGTTGTTTTTTTCTTTTTTACCATTTTTTAGATTCCAGTGTAAGTGATATCATACAGTACTTGTCTTTCTCCATCTGACTTATCTCTCTTCAAGTCTCCCAAATTTAAGACATAAATGTAAGACAATTCCAACTGAATACCCATAGAATTATTTTTTGAAAGTTAAACAAGTGCTTTTAACTCTCATACAGAAGAATAAATGCCTGAGAATAACAAATGAAATATAAAAATGTAGACTGAGGAGGAAGTCAGCTCACTGTATTATAATCAAAGACACTGTGATGGAATCAATATTTTATTCATACAGGAGTAGAAAAGTAGAGACAGGAACAGAATTGAAAATCCTGACACAGATCTTAGGGAGTATGAAAATTTAATAAATGACAAAATTGTGTTTCAGTTCAGTGGGAAATGGATCACTTATTTAATAAATGGTTCCGGCACAAGGACTATCTTAAGCATACAACAAAATCAGTCCCTGTTCTGCCTTGAGACACTTTTCTGAATCTTTTAGCAAAAGAAATGCTCAGGGTTTCTTAGGAGTCCACCATGTCTGGGGAAGACGGGTGCCATGGCCTCAGACTGGGAGAGTGCAGGTCCCTGGGGTCCGATTGCAGAGAATCTCCAACCAGCAGATGAGCATTCAGACAGACCTGAGGCTGTGTCCTCTGATTTCTGATTGTCCTCCAGCACTGTCACCCCCACCTCCACTTCCCACCCCTCCCAGGGGAAGGTAGCTGCAGACCCTATGCCACGTAGCTTGAAGAAAGGAAAAGAGGAGTGTTAGCGGGAGACATTTTCCCCCCATTTTCTCCTATTCTGTTTCCATCAGTTGATCAGACTCCCCAGGAGCATCTTGAACCTCAACAAAGCTGAGGTGTATCTGAGGTACATCAGTCTCCTTATGCAGTTAGATGGCACCTACGAGACACCAGAGCCAGGACAACATCCTGCTCTCTTCTCCTATCCCGTGTCGCTTCTTATGAACCATGTTAATAGGAGCAGCCCTCCAGAAAGACACCCACGGCTGCAGAGTTCTCCCCACCAACCTAGCGGGCTGCTCCCTACAATGTTTAAGTCATTCAACTGCTTCCTTGGCAGGTTCCCTTTCTTCTCTGCCTCCTTTCATTCCACCCCCCTAAATTCCTTGCTGGAGAACCCATTTACACACCCAGACACCCACCCCATCCATGCTTTGTCCCCACTATCAAGGGAGAAGGGAAGGGGTTGGAGGTAAGGCTGAGGCAAGTTTGAAAATCACCTGTTTTTTGACACCAGAAGGCAGATCTCATGAGGGGAAGTAACAGGTGTGTAACCTCCCTCAGCTAAGTCTCCGGCAGGGAGGTGCTCCTCCTCTGCCCCAGCCCGCTGGGCACCTCCGGGGGCCTCCACATCCTGTAGTCATGTTTCAGGTCCCCCTTCTTGACCAGGTCTGACTTCTTGGATACTCCTGCCCCACTTTGCTCATCATTCCCACCAGGAAGTTCCCCTAGGGCTCATTTGTTACGATTCGATGGCCTCCTCAAGAGTGACTAAAAGGGCCGCTCCTTCTGCCCCTTCCCTGTTTCTACTCACTTTCCCCTCCCCAGCCCAGCATCTGTCTCTCCCCACATGTCACAGAGCCATTGCTATGTTCTGACCCACCACACACAGCACATGCCTTCAAAGTCATGCCTGCCCCTTTTACAGGCAAGGACACAGTCCAAGAGATGTGAAGTCACCTGGTTGATGTCCACACTGATTTGCTACATCAACATTTAATGAGTGACTCCAGTAACCTGGACGCTGTGGGGGTGACATGGAAGAAGGAGGCACAGGCCTGCCCTCGGGAAGCTTTGGTTCTATTGGGGTAAAGACAAGTACCTCAAGAAACGTGATGCCAATGAGATGTGAGGTTCCACATGAGAAGAGCATGCTGGAGGGGAACAGAGCATGTTCTGGAAGATGTGATGCTGGACCTGGGATGTGAACTGGGAACTCTGGACCCCACGCACCTCTCACCACACCAGACACTGACCTGGAGGCTGGGATGACCAGTGGCCCATGGGGATGAAGAAAGCAAGTGATGGGCTAGAAGCTGGACACAGGGGCTGAGGGAGGCTCACAGGAAACAGCTGTCCCTCGCCGAAGGCCAGGATATGCTCAAATGGGTGCTCTCTTCAGGAGATGTTTGTGAGTTTCCTCAGACTCCTTCTGGATGTGGCGCAGTTCCTCCATCCAGGACTCCTCACTGAGCACTTCCTCAGAGCCCTGTCCCTTGATTATTTGCCTTTCCTGCACTTCTTTGAGCAGAATGTGTTGCTGGGAGTATTGGTAAGCCTTGTTGCTATAGTAACGGCCTTCATTTTCCCACAGGACTCCTTCGATTTCCTCCATGAGCTCCTTCAGCTGGGCCTCCTGCTCTGCCCCCTCTGCCCTGTTGTTGAAGCCACAGTGGCGTCGCCCACACATCACATCCAGCTGGGCAAGGTACTGGTTGTTGGTCTCTCGCACATACTCTTGCAGGGAGCCACCATCCAGGTCTTCCTTCCGAGTGAACACCAGGATGGTGTAGGCCAGGATGTCCACTCCGAAGACCTCCTGGAGGCGCCTGACTACCTCCTGATCCTCTTCTGTGAACCGGCCCAGCTGTGTCACCAGGAGCACTGCGTGAGGCCCCGGGGAGGAGAAGGCAATGGCTCCACATACGCCCTGAGCTGCCACTTCTGGTGGGGCCCGAGGGGACAAAATGTCAGGGGTGTCGATCACCTCAAGCTCCTTCCCAGCCCATCCTCGGCTCCCTCTCTGGAAGGCCTTGGTCACCGGGCTAGCACTGAGTTTAGAGTCAAACACTTTCCTGCCAAGGATGCTGTTTCCTGTTGCACTTTTCCCACTTCTGGTTTTCCCCACCAGGATGAGCCTCAGTCTCTTTGGGGTCAGGTCATTCTCCCTCAGACCTAGGAGCATTGAGAGAAAGCAGAGGGGTTAGCATGAGAGCCCATGCCCCCTATTTTGCCTCATCAGAGGCCATGCAGCAGGGAATGCTACTTGACCTCAGGGGAAGATTGTCCTGGGTGGGCTAGGAGAGACAAAGACCCACATTTGCACCTGAGACCTGCCCCAGGCTCACACGATTTTTTAACGTTTTTTATTGTGGTAAAATATACATAACTTAAAATTTACCATCGTACAGCTGTACAAGGTGTACAATTCAGTGGCATTAAGTACATTCACATTGTTCTGTAATCATCACCACTACGCATATCAAAAATGTTTTCATCATCCCAAACTAAAGCCTTGTACCTGTTAAACAATAAATCTCCATTCCTCCCTCCTCCTAACACCTGGTGACCACCATTCTACTTTCTCTCTCTACGAATTTGACTATTCTAGGTACCTCTTTTAAGTGGAATCATCCAATATTTGCCCTTTTGCGTCTGGCTTATTTCACTTAGCATAGTATTTTCAAGGTTCATCCATGTGTAGCATGTGCCAGAATTTCCTTCCTCTTTAAGGCTGAAAATACTCCATTGTATGTACATATCACACTTTGTTTATTCATATATATATGGACATTAGGTTGTTTCCACCTTTGGGCTATTGTGAATAACGCTGCTATGGACATTAGTGTACAGATATCTGTTTGAGACCGTGCTTTCAATTCTTTGCAGTATATACCTAGAAATGGAATTGCTGGATAATATGGTAGAATACTGCATTGTACTGTTTGGCTTTTGAAACTTCCTCTCAGGGTCACCTATTCTCACCATATGGGAATCATCCCCTCATGAATATGGGACCCTGAGCTTCCCCAGGTATCCCTGATTGAAGATCCTTCTCAGTAAGAGGGGTGAGAATAGAAGCACGCAGCCTCTGAGTCTACATCTTCTCCCCAAAGTGACTGACCACATCACCCTCTTCAGCTATTCCAACAGGGAATGTTGGGAGTGTGGGGCCTTTTCAGCCAGACCCCGGCTCCACAGCACAGAGGCACACTGGGGTCACATTCTTAGGCTACATCCTTGAAGTTTGGGCTGGACATTCTCACCCAGCAGAATATCAGAACCATCAGCTGAGGAAAGACTTGGAGATGCCAACCTAACCTTGAGAAACCCAATGTCAAGATTTTTAGATACAACTGGGGCTGGAGGACAGGAAGGGAACTGCCTTCTCCCGGCCTTGCGCCTCCCAGGACCCAGATCACATGGACAAGAGCCAAAGAAGAGCTGGTTTCCAAGCCTGTTCCACATTGAAGACATCGACATGTCTCACTGACAGAGCCCTAAGCCTCCTGCAAGCAGGCTCAGCACCATCTTCTTCTGAATCTCCTTAGCAACAACATGTTTTTCACTGCCTGCCACTCTTGGCTGGCTGACCCCCAATCAATTCTGACTGGATGACATTGGCTCCCCTCAGCTTTCCCCAGGCGGCTTGAAAGGAATTTGAGTGAATGGGTGGGAGTTCTTCAGAAGCCCGGAAGGTGGACTGTTCATCCCTGCCCATAGCCAACACAAAGCTGGATGAAGTCTGTGTTTCCCGTCTGGGCAAGCCTGGAGCCAGGGCACGCCACTGGACTTCACAGCCAAATACATGACTTGAGCTCTGGAGAGGATTTGTAAAGTAATATTTAACCCTGATTGCTGCAAGAAGGGGTAAATCAGGTGTCAGCACTCTCATTGGTAATATTCGTATGCGGTTTATTAATATGGCTCTCTCCCAAAGGCTCAGGCTGTTGAAGTTCATATAGTGAAAATCGTTGGGGTTAAAATACGTGATGAATCACAAATAAATTCTTCCAGCCAGGAAAGTGGATGGATTTCTGGCATTCCTAAATCCTATCTCCCCAGGCTAGGTGATGAAGTGGAGCCCATGAACGTTAAGTGCCTGACCCTGACGCAGTAGATTTGAGGGAAGAGAACCCCTTGTGCAGGTGGATCCCGGGTCTGAGGCAGGAGCTGGGCAGGTCCTGCTTGTTCCCATGCTGCTTTGCAGCCTGTTAACCTTGAGAGCTCCCTCATCTGAACCAGCCAACCGCCCACACAGGGGTCTGTGGGCCTCCAAGCCTCAGGCCAAGGTGAGTCATTTTGTCACACCCACGGCCCGCATGTCCTTCCTGAGGAGGAAAGCCCAGGATGTGCAGACCCTTTTCCATGGGACTGGCATGGAGAGTCAGTAAAGAGGGCGACTGGTGCTCTCTCTCGCCTCCTCTCGTCCACTGTGCCTGCCACAGGCCTTTTCCCCCTTATTTGGCTGCAGTAAAGAAAGGCCCCACCCCAAAGGCCCTCTGATGGTGGCCCGGGTGGGCAAATCTCTGACTGGGTTGAACTCCCTTTGTCTCTCCAGGCCCTACACCTGCACATCAGAGTCGCCTGTCCCCCTCTCTCAAGTGCGCTTCCACTAGAAAGTAGTTTTACCTTGTGACACAGCTTCTCTAGCATCCTGGAACAGCACTCCTGTGGGATTCTCCTGCAGAATCTGTTTGTCTTCTTCTTCCTCCATCTAGAGAAAATAATAATATGTCTTACTGACTTTTTTTATAAGTTTTGTTTGTTTGTTTGTTTGTTTGTTTTGTGAGGAAGAGCAGCCCTGAGCTACCATCCATGCCAATCCTCCTCTTTTTCCTGAGGAAGACCAGCTCTGAGCTAACATCTATTGCCAATCGTCCTCCTTTTTTTCCCCCTTTTCTCCCCAAAGCCCCAGTAGATGGTTGTATGTCATAGTTGCACATCCCTCTAGTTGCTGTATGTGGGATGTGGCCTCAGCATGGTCGGACAAGCAGTGCGTCAGTGCGTGCCAGGGATCCAAACCCGGGCCGCCAGTAGCGGAGCACGCACACTTAACCGCTAACCCACCGGGCCTGCCCCCCTTACTG